AGGGGGTTGGAATAAATGATCTTTGAAGGTCCCTTCCAACCTAAACCATTCTGTGATTCCATGTATATGAGCTGGAGTGCCTGGCTCCCGCTTCACAGTGCAGTACAGCAGCAATTAAAGTCAGGGTGGTTTTTGAGCTGCGTGGGTAGAGGCATCAAGGCATGGAGAAAAGAAAGTGATTGAGCATGTCTTGGAAGCGATGTGCGTCTAACCATGTTCATTATTCTGCCCCTTCGTCGTAAGGGAACATTAACAGACTGGGGGGGACTTCAGAGCTGAGCATGCACGAAGGCACTGATGCTTGAAGTTTTTTCAAGTGCCTAAGATGGAGATGTGTGAGAACTCCCAGGGGCGGTCCTTCTCCCCTCTTTTTCTTTCCTCCTGATGAATTGCGTTGCTCTACCCATATTGCATATAAATCTAGTCTTTGCAGCTTTTCTATTTGCTTTCTTAACTGCCCTCCCAGACACCCAGACTTCATTTTGCTCAGAGTACATGCAGGCATTACTATTTCAGTCGGCTGCACTGCATTTGAAAAACAAACGAGAAAATCCCCATGTTGGACTGCGTCAGACCAATTATTCTAATAAAGATTAAAGATAAAAATGCCCTTTGGGGAGGAGGTGATGCAGCTTCTCTCCTGAGTCAAATAAACATACCTCTGTGTTACCTTGAATGGAGGATTCGCTTCCAAGAGTAGAAGAGCCTGGGATTTCAAGAGGACTTTGCAATCTCTGTCTGGTACTGTGGAGCTAAGTTGGTACTGTAGAGGACAAATCCATGACCTGCCCCTTTGAAAAAAAAGAAACCAAAGAGTTTTCTTTTGTATGCGATGGCCAACCCTTGTTTTGCCCTTGTCCAGATGCACAGGTTTTTCTGCGGGAGACCGAGCATTTAAAAATCCTTGTTAGTTTGTGATGGTAAGAATCCCCCTGGGAGCGAGCGGCCACATCCTGTCTTTGAGAAGAACTTGAAAAGAGAAGCTTGGAGAGGGAGTAGGGAAGAGATGAATAAAATGGGAAGGGGAAATCATTTTTGGAATTCACAGGACGTGCTACAAGGCTGGTATTTTGATGGCTTTGGTTTTGCTGCTTGCTTACTTAAAATTAGGCTAGGGAATGCTTCTGCTACTCGATTAAACAACCCGAAGCTGCCTGTCTTCCCTATTTCAGCAGCGCTCTGCAGTGCTCGGTGAGCTCTCTGGTTATCAGAGTAGGTTTTGTTGTCAACCTACTGTTTGGATGGTCGTGACAAGTGCAAAGTGGTTTATATCCTCTCTACTCTGTCTGTTTACTGTTCTTAGTGAAACTTTTTTTTTTTCCCTTTCCAAAGTTGATAATAGCAATGGAAGAGCTGAAGCAATGCCGATTACAACAGAGAAATATTTCAGCGACGGTTGATAAGCTAACACTGTGTCTTCCTGGTGAGGAATCTGAAATTGCTCTTTATTTGTGTAGCTGTTTATTTTAATTCACGTCTCTCTGCTTTGTGCTCGTGTCTCAATGCTTGTATGTTTTCCTTCTCTTTCCAGTCCTGGAGATGTACAGCAAACTGCGAGAGCAAATGAAATCTAAAAGGTAAATTTTGTATAGACTGGTGTTTGTATTGGAAAAGTTGAAAAGCACCCGTTTGGTGCTGGATAAATTAAAGAGGTTCTCAAAACTTAGGACTTCAAAATCAGCCTTTCCAACTTAACTTACTTGATTTCTGGCTGATATATTCATGGTCCTGCTCAGCCTCCCGCAGTATAGCCTAGAACCGGGATTGCAGCGGGCTCTAATTTTGTTTTGTGTTAGGCTTTTTAATTAAGGTGGATGTTCACTTTTTTTCCAAGGAAGCTCACCGTTGTGATGCATGCAATCAATGCGTGACTTGGGACTTATGCGTTATTAACTAAATTTATTCTATGAATGTCATAATACAAAACCTGATACAATTGAGAGAATCGAACATGCATGGAAGCCAAACACCTCAGAAAGGTTGTGCAGGATGGTTGAAGTTGGTGAGAAGGCACACGGCTTATTTTGCGGTAGAAATAATTGTTCGGAAGAGTGAGCTGAACTACAAGGACTTTGTGGCTCAGAAATCATGAGCTGTAAATCTAGGATTTTTCCCACCCTGCCTCTGTTGCGATGCTGAAGGATGAAACCACGGTCCGGGATATTTGCATGGCTGGGATCCTGGGGGACGGTTTGTTTAAGCAGCGTGGGACTTCGGAGGCGCGTTGTAGCCCTGGGGGTGGCAAATCGGGCAAAGAGCAGCTACTGGAAGGAGGTCAGCTGAAAACACGGCAGGCTCCAGCTGAATGCCACGCAGGGAGAGCAATCAGATCCGATGCCTGGTTTGTGCCTGCCATCCATCATAGAAACAATACAGAAGAAACCAGATGTTTGAAACAAGGCGATAACTAATTGGATGGGCGTATTTTTACACTTCCCCTCCTGCCTCCGCTGATCTCTGTGGTCCTTGGACCCGGGAGCCTTGGATAAACAGATAAGCATTGCTCCTGAAAGTTGGGCTGGCCAGAGGAGTTATAAGGAGCTTATTTAGCTGTTCACAAAGCTTGCGCTCTCTTTCTCAGGATGGCTCAGTACAGAATAGGGCAGCGTATAGTTTGTCCAACTTCTTTTTAGTCTGTTTATAGGAACAGCGAGGGGCTTATCCGTTGACAGATGTGGGGTGGGGAGCTGGAGCTGATCACAGTGCTGTGAACTTTGGAAGGAAATCCACATGCCGCTTGATTCCCTCGCTCTGGATAGTGTTTCCAGGGTTTGCTTCTAAGAATTGCTCCCCCCCCCCCGCTTTTGGATTGGTTCATTTTGAAACAAATAGAAGTTGAAAGCCACATTTAAGAAAAATCTGAACCCTTGCTTTTTTTTTTCTCCCTTCTTTCTTTGTCGGGATTTGATGGCTTCATTCACCAAACGCAACACAATATATTAAATATTTTTGTGTCTGCACCCAGTCTCACTTATATATCATTTCATGATAGCCAGCAAGGGGGTTGGTTACTAGCCTGAGCCTTGGGTACACAGTCTCAGAGGAGTAATAGGTTTTGCATTCTGGGTGAATAAACTCAACTCTCCCAAGGTAGACAAAATGAGTTATGTGCTGTTTGCTGTGTGATGTTTATAAACCGAACGCAGGCCTTTGCCAAATGTAGCATCTGTGGCCATTAACTGGAGCTGGAGCTGGAGAACGAAGCATGTTCTGGACCCAGAGGAGTGACTCTGCAACCAGCAGGGAGAAGAGATGGAGAGAAACGTTTCATCTGCTGTTGTCCAGAATTTAAGGAAGGGACAGAAAGAGCTTTTCTCCAGTGGCTGGGACACATGTGGCTGCTTGTTGGAAAGTGATGAGAAACACCCCCCTGCCTTCAGAGATCCCTCCTCGTTCTGCAGGGCTCCAGAGGGAGCCATCTTTTTTTACCCCTGGGTCACTTGTCATATCCATGAAACGAGAATGCTTCATCCTGCTTGTAGCTGAGAAGCCTCTGTAGAGCTGTACCCACCTGAGCAGGGCCTGGGTATTTCCAGGAAAAAAAAAACAAAAGCCAGCTCTGACTCTGTTTTATCAAAATGCTGCTTCCCCCACTCGGCAAGCGCTCCTGTTTCACTGGTGCAGTGGTCCCGGGGGCACAGAGCTGGGCAAGAACACGGCCCCTCTGGGTGGCTGATAATAGGCATTAGCATGAGGGATGTAATCTGGGCTGAGGCGGCAATACTTCAGCCGCAGGAATTGCTGGCCTCCGCACATCTCACACAAGAGCAGTGTCGAGCTTTCCTCTGCCCGCACGTGTTTCGGACTCTGTTTTTGGCAGGCAGCCGGGGACCCCATCAGTGACCGCGCGCTGTTCCCCCGCCAGCCACCTTCTCACTGCTTCTAGTTCAACAAACAATGCCCTAAAATATAACACCCCCCCCAACGTGTGTTTATTCCTCTGGTTTAATTTCTGGCTTTCTGTGCACTCCTAAGTTTCTCTCCAGAGAGGTTTGCATTTTATTGCAAATAGTCTTTCATACCTTACGGTAGTGTAAACACCGGCCGGGTTACGGGGTTAATCCGTTTGACTTCTGGTGTTGGGAACAGGACAGGCCACTTCTGGTTAAAATAACTCCCCTGTGGACCTGCCTGGAGTTCAGACAAGAATTGTTTTGAATGGGGATATGAGTGTCAGTTTTTTTTCAGTGGTGCTAATATGATTTTTCTGACTAAACACTTTTTCTCCCCCAAAACTTCAAGGTGTAAGTGGCAGGTGCTTGTGGCCAGGATTAACCGTGGGTATAGTCAGCTAAAGTTGCCTTAATTCACCCAAGAGGTGACTGTGACCTGGTGTTGGTCTGAAATATGTTTTTATAGACCCTGCTAATGCTTCCTAGATGGGTCCCTGATAACTTTTTGTTAAACTTTGACCGGATCTGTGGTCAGACCAGGAGGAGGACGGTCTCGCATTTTACATTGCCATTCAGGAGGGCCCCTGAATTCCAGTGAACAGGCAAATCCTATGGACTCCCACTTCCCGAAGGGAAAAGAGGGAGGGCGTTTGAGAAAAATGATTTGCTTAGAATAGTTTCCCATTTAGCATCTTCTGTCAGCCTATGAAGGTTGCTTTTATGCAGAAAGGTAGGATAAAATTTACAGTACCTTCCCTAAGGCCATTGGGCATGACCAAAATATAAAGGCATGCATTGTGCATAGGGGGAGAAAGATTGGGGTTCTTGCATTCTTAAATTTATAAGGTATATTTCTTATGGAGTGGGGAAATAAATTATTTTCAGCATTGCAAAGGTCACATACCCCAGTGGTACAACAGTAGTTGCTGGAGAGGCAGGGGCTTTGTAGAAAATGTATCCGTTGGACCCCTAATCTGGGGTTGGTATCCAGATTTTCACCTCTGTCTAAATAAAAAGTACTTTGAGTGGAAAGTGTTTTTAATGGTGCTTAGCAGCATTTGAACAGTTGGGAGAAAGGTGGGATCTGACTCCTGATATGCGTGGGGAAAGAAGTTAGAGAGCTCTCATGTCCAGGATCGTTACAACAGAATAACAAATATCCGTGCTAGTAGCAGATACTGGATATTAACATGTGCTAGACACTAATTTATCAGTCTGTGGTATATTATCGTATATTCCCATCTCCATGCTTCTGTCTTACGGCACCTCACTGTTAGGGGTTGCTGAATCAGGCAGCGTGACGGAGACAAGTCTGCTGTAGCCCCGTGCCCCGGGTCCAGGCAGGAGGGAGGCTGAGTGCGTGCTCCCAGCAGGCACGTATACAGCACGCACACTTGTATACACGCAGAGCCGGCCACACAGATCAGCAGGCAGAAACACTCCACGCTCACAAACACCAACAGCATCGTCCTGTCCCCCTGTCTGGCGGTTCGGGATGAAGGTGATGCACACACATGCACCCAGAATAGAGAGCCCTTCACCCAGGAAAAGACTTAGAGATGCAATCCCCAAATGCTGTATCCCATAACGTGCCCCATACCTGACATGGCCCTCTTGGTGTATGAGGTGCTCCAGAGACCCTCTCACCTTGATGGGCGTCACCTCCGTCCACGGGGCTGATGGCTCTCCTGGGGAGACCAGTGCAGGGTCTTTCTGGGGTTCCCCCATGAGTGATCGTGCCTCTGTGCTCCTCTGTGTGCATGGGACCGCACTTTTTCTTGCATAACCTAACAATACTATGTGTGGTTGCCAACTTTTCCTTCACTCTGTGTGTGATATGGTGCCCCAAATGGTTTTACTGTGGGTGAGAGCTACTGGGCTCAGCTGATGCTGGTCTCTTGTGACCCAGCTGGTCCTTGTCTGCCCATCAGAGCTCTGAGTAAGGAGCTGCTACTCACCTTTGTGTTTCTCTGCTGCTCTGTTTCAAAAGGAAAATGATGCTTTTATGGTGACCTGGATGCTAAGGTCTATGTTCCTTTGAACAGAGCTGAGATTCTTCGATACATTAAATTATTTACAGTTAATGCACATTTCAGAGGGGAAGTGGGATGGAAAGAGCCCTTCTTCTTTCCACATCTGCCTTGCTTGCCTTCCCCAGACACTACCCTGCGCTCAAGACCCTGGAGCACCTTGAGCACACGTACCTGCCCCAAGTGAGCCACTACCGCTTCTGCAAGATCATGGTGGATAATATTCCAAAGCTGCGTGAAGAGATCAAAGAAGTTTCCATGTCAGACCTCAAGGATTTCCTGGAGAGTATCCGTAAGCACTCTGACAAGATTGGAGAGACAGCAATGAAACAGGTAGGACTTGTTCTGTGTGCACACATGGTGGAGGCTCTTTTGGAAGAGGAGGGTGGTTCACAGTTATGTTAAACAAAGTGCTATTTTTCCAATCCCAAGGCAGTAAACTTAGTTTTAAATATTGAAGTAATTTTGTTACTAGGTGAAGCAATGATTTTTCATTCTGTGGTTGCTACTAGAGGTTACCTTCTGATTTTTATACCGTTGAAAAGTGATGGACCATTTTTGTCATCGTTTTCTCCTGCCTGTATTTTGCTGTAGGCTCTTGCTAGCCCAGAGCCTGGGAGGTGCAGTCGGGGTGTGTAACTCATATTTTCTGCTTAGTAGGACAGGGGCATTTGTGCTGCTGTGCCTGGTGGCAACTGGAAGACCTGGAGACACCCGTGTTGATTTCCCAGGTTCTGGGTAAAGCAATAGAAGTTCATGCACTGACTGCAACTTAATTTTTTTTTGCATCTAAAACTGATTTTCAGATACTGGGTAAACTTTCATTGCGGCTTGCTTGCATTTGTCTAGCAGTTGATGTCTGTAAAAGATGAACCTGATTAATTGAACATCCCCATGCATGTATTAAAATGGAATTGCCTTTCCCCACTCTTCTTTAATATGCTAGTTTTGAGTTTCAGTACAGTTTTTCTTATCGCAGCCGGGGAGCATTGCTCACGGTGGCTCTTAAAAAGAACTTTTGCTACTTTGAAGAAATTCAAATCCACTAGTAATGAAATGTTACCTCTCATGAGCAGTAAACTGCTTCCTCTGATAGTGATTGATGGATTGGACTTGTCGATTTATGGGAAGGACTCTTGCTATAATCTTTCACAAGATGATAAAATTGCACTGTTATACTTACGGGTAGGGGTACAGGCAAGTTCGATTTTCTGTCTTACAAACACCATCCTTTCTGTAAAATGGTCTAGCTTGAGGATTTCTGTTAATTGATTTAATTTACAGTATATCCGCTGCCTTACTGACATCTCAACCTCTTTCTAGTATTTTGGGAAAACAAACCAAGCCTTATATTGTGTAATAGAGCTATGGAGAGATGCCATGCTGCATCTGAGAGTTCAGCAAACTTTTTTGTTAGTTGTTGCGTCAAATCAAACTAGTCTTTCTGAATCTGCAGAAAACACGCTGTGACCTGGACATCCTGTCGTGGAGCCAGATGTGCACTGTGGTGATGTCTGGGATGGCTACAGGTGTTATTGTGCTGAATTTACCTGATACAGCAGTTTCTAAAACAATTAATTGTTTACAAAAACTACTCTATTTTTGTTCATTATGGCAGCCAAACTTTTTAAAAGATTCTTCCTTGGTTCCTGTGGCTCTGTGGCTGGAAAGGAATAGGAGTTTCATTTGTCTTTTGGTGCCCAATTAATGCAGCGAATATGCTACTTTAAATAAATAAGTAACTTCTTTATATCCTATTAAGGATATTACCAATTATAGACATAAGAGGATGCAGATGTTGCGTCTTCTTGTAGTTTCCAGTTTTGTCGTCATGATGCTGGGAGGGATACTTAAACCTCCTGGCACCGTGGCTGATTGCTTTGATGGGTGGGGAGAGCCTGGCGGGGAGAGGTGTGTGCGTCCAGCCACGTGTCCTTGGCTGCTTAGGCAGACCAATTTTGGGAAGTTCCCCATCATTTCAAATGGCTTCCTTTGCTATCTTCTGACTGAGATTTTTTTTGTAGCTTTGTGCTTGCTGTTCCTTTCAAATCCATGGTGTACTTATGCATTTCTTCCTGTTTAAATCATAGAATCATTTAGGTTGGAAAAGACCTCTAAGATCATTGAGTCCAACCGATAACCTAGCACTGCCAAGTCCACCACTAAACCATGTCCCTAAGCGCCTCATCTACACGTCTTTTAAACACCTCCAGGGATGGTGACTCAACCACTTCCCTGGGCAGCCTCTTCCAGTGCTTGACAACCCTTTTGGTGAAGAAATTTTCACGTCCCTCCCTCCTGTCCCTTCTGCTGCTCCTGGGGAGAGCTCACGCCCTGCCTGGAGCTCTGTTCATTCTCTATCTCTTGCTCTAAAGAAATCTGGCTTTTTACAGCAAAGTTAAAATCAGGAGAGGCACTGGGGAGTCGGTAGGGACTGGCTGCTCCTGCCCTAACCAAATACAAGAACTGGGGCCCAGTGAGTGAAACCAGCAGGAGTCAGGCTTGAAATAAGGGGGGGGGGAAAGTTGGTTGTTCATTCCGTGGGTGATAGACCGGTGGAGCTCCTCGTGCACAATTTTCCATGGCTTCAAGGACAAACTGGGTAAGTGCTTTTACTGGGTTCCTGGCAGGTTGCTAACTGAACAGACTGTTTTGGGCTCAAGAAGTGCCTGATCTGTCAACAGTGAGAAGCTGGGAGAAGACCTGGGGGGAAGAACTACATTTACTTGCCTTGTTGTTGTCCACCTTCTGGTGGAGTTTGGTGTTTGATTTTGCAATACTGGATAATCTAAGTTCCTGGTCTGAGCTGGCAAGCAGCCATGCATCTGAACGAAACCTCCAGAGAGTGTTTTCTTTCTTCCTGTAACAACTCTCACTTCTTTCTCCTCTCTGTTCTTTAGACTCTTTCTCTACTCTTCACCTTTTGTCCCTCAGTGTTTATTTCAACTGCTAATGTTTTGAGCTTCTCTTAAGTTTGTTATTTGTTCTTCAGCTCCAGATAGCCTCTCAACCAGCACTCCAGTCCCTGCTTTGACCTGAGCCAAGCACTCTGTTTCTTCTCCTTTCAGTATTTTTCTACCTTACGCACTTGCAGTTGTTCTTCATCGTTCACCACCTTCTACTCAGTTCCAGCCAGTTTGGACCCTAAGGATTTCTGAACTGAGGTCTGGGTTGCAGTAAATTTTTCTTTTGCCTGTTGATGCTGCTGGCATCTGTTAGGGGTGCATCAGAGCTTCAGCATTTCAGTGTATCCAACAGAAAAACAATCGAGCAGAAAAGACTTTTCCTTCAACGTAGATGCTGTTTGGGCTGTTGCAGGGGAGTGTCAAAACAAGACGCACCAAGAGGGTAACGTTAGATGTTTTTAGTTTGCCTGCAGGTGATACAGTGAGGTATACATCTTCAGTCTCCCCCAAATCCCACTTTTCTGCTGTTTTATGAGAGCAAGGTGCAGACTAGAAGAGGTTCCTTCACGCTTTGTGGGAACAGAGTTACCTACGAGGTTGGACTCGGCTTTCCAGCAGTAAAGGTGTACCGTTCCTGCACGGTGGCTTGGGGAAGGAAGGTCAACTTGCCACTTCCAGTTGCCAAAGCCGAGTTGGAAGCAATGTTGGAATTTAAGCAACGTGCTAGGTTTATTCCTGCAAAAAGCGTCATGGGCTGCTTCACCAACGAGAAGCGATGAGGAGCTGAAGCTTTCGGAGCCTCCCGTTGCGTGGGGTCACTTCACGTCGTTTTGCCGAAAGCGATGGACAGGGTTTCCACTGCCAGAATTACCAGTATCGCTTCTTGCATCGCCGGGTCTTTTTCCTCAGTCTCTTGGCCGTGATTGATAGCCACTCTGGAACGGAGCGGAGCTGGCAGGAGGCCTGGGAGAGTCGGGGAACTGCGATTGGCAGCTAAATACATTCGGTTTAAATTAGCATCATATAAATTCTTTTAAAATTGTTTGATTTCACCAGCGGGAATGGAAGAGGGCTTGATACAATGGGGAAAGGAAATCATGTTTTTGTAACATTACAAATCTGAGGCTGATGATGACAAGAGCTGAAAATTTCATTTTGTGATAATCAGAAGGATCTGTCTTGGAGCGCTCAGAGCCGTTGCCGTGTTTCTGGCCGTCAGTCAGGGATGCGGGGAGCTCGCCGGCCCCTCTTCTGGAGAGGAAGCCCGTGGGGGTGAAGTCAAGTGAGATGTTCCCCAGGTCAGCCGTATGCGGGAACCGGAGGGATTTCAGAGCACGCGGAGAAACCTTATAGTCTCGCTGTACAAATGATGAGCTCTCATTGACTCCTTTCCTTGTGTTTTTTTTTTAAATCTGAATTTTATTACCTATGGTTCTGGGGGAATTTGCTGCGTTCCAAATATTGTTCTTAATTACACAGCGCTTGAGCAGATGAAAGTAGCTGTGCGCATTTGAACTCCTTTTGGACTTTGGCCCTGTGAACCTGCTTGTGTGTTTTGTTTTTGTTAGTGTGGTTTTTTTTTTTTTAAAAAAAAGATCTGAGTTCTGGGCTTGCCAGGAATGAATTACATCTTATTAACACTTGCTGATATCCGGTATGTGGTTTTATTATCTAGCTTAACGTCTGAAACATGCACGGCATGTGGAGGAGGTCACTTAGGATGGTGCTGCATGCAAAGTGTCCAGGGTAAGTGCAGTGAATGCTGCTACGCAGGGGGCCAAGAGTAACCCATCCAAAAGCCATTATCGGATCAAGTTTGTCAGGACAGCCAAAACGTTCAGCGTGCCTCTCGCATAGATGGAGGCAAACCAGCATTATTATTATTATTATTATTATTATTATTATTATTATTATTATTATTATTATTATTATTATTATTATTATTATTATTATTATTATTATTATTATTATTATTATTATTATTATTATTATTATTATTATTATTATTATTATTATTATTATTATTATTATTATTATTATTATTATTATTATTATTATTATTATTATTATTATTATTATTATTTTTTTTTTTTAGCATCACTTTGATGTGTTGTCAAAGCTGATGTTTAATAGGTGGTGATCTGGTATGAGTTTGAATGGGTTGTTGTTTCCGCTGTGCTTTTTCAAGGTGATGTTTATTCTTCTTGCCAACAGATATCAATGTGTCTGTCATTTCTGAGCAGTTGTGTAAGTATATTTTCCTGCAGTGGCAGAAAATATCAACCTGGTGATGTGAGCATATACGTACACTTAAAAAATGAGGCAAAACATTGCACAATGATGTGCACAACTAAAATGCTGATCTGATTTTGGTAGGACCGTTCTGACCGTCAGCTGGAGAAGGTGAAGCACTTTGGAGCACGGATT